CGCTTATTGATTGTTATTGTTTGAATTGTACGGTGATTGAGCTTCGAGTATCACCCGGACAGAAATATACGAATCCCAGAGCCAGCACTAATTACACACCTGTCTGGATCCGAGGGGTGACTCTATCGATGATGCAGAAAATAATTTGTTTTGCTTTATAAGCTGCGCGCACGCTGAGTAGATAGAAAGAAGATGATGTGCGATGCAAGTAGATGCGGGAAATGGATGAATATTTTTCGTAGTGATTCGCTAGTGTGAGATTTTTGGAGCATCTAGAATTGCGGTTTAGATGTGACGCCCCCTAGTTTGGATGATGGTTTCGACAGACCCTTTATTGGATTCCCACAGCTCCCGTAACGGGATATAACGATCATAGAATTACATCTTGACGTACGTATCTCAACCAATGGACCATAGTGTATTTACACGGGCCGGAGTGAGCGATAATTGGCGATCATAAAATACTAAAATTATGCTCTTTCTCTCTCTCTCTCTCTCTCGCTTCTCTTTCTCGATCGCAAGCAACGATCGGTATCTAATGAAGATGATGATGCTGGGTTGTTGTCCAAATAAAATAAAAAATCATCGCAGCTGGTAATGGAGGATGATGTGAATAGATTGTGAAGGTATGCTTTTGAATTTAGAAACGATGATTGTATGATTTGAGTTGTTTCTGAAAAAAAGAAGGGATATGTACTACATCAGGGTCAAATTATGGCTGGGTAGTTCATGGACGATTTTGAACAAACAGTACTGCTGCTGTTACGGCTCTACCACAACTTGTGGCAGGCAATCATGTTGAATATGGTTTGTGTGTTTGCTGATTATCGAATTATATTTTCAACATGGAAATCTTAGTTGGAGATGCATAACGTCAATATCAGGCTTAAAATGAACATTGTTGTGAGGAGATTAAATCGGTGCTCAACAAGCGATGTGTAGCGTTCCACGTGGGCTTTCTATGCGCACTCACACTATCACAGCATGCTGCCTATCTTAACTGCAGGCAGAAGATGCCTTCTACCGCTAGGTGGGCTAGTGTTCGCAAATGACAAGTGGAGCCACTTTCTGATCCGAAGTTCCACTTCTGTTCGGATGTAAAGGGTGTTACGATCAAAACTTGACGCATTTAAAAAAAAACCTAAACACTTGTCATTCTGTAGGTGTGATTTGAATTTTGACATTTGCTCTTTAGTTTTCAAAATGGCGTCCAAGCAAGAAGAGCAACGTATCAAAATTTTGCAAGCGCATCCCGAAAATCTGAACTGTTTGCACGTCGAAGTGCTTCCTCCGAGCTTCCTGGAAAGAAGTTTTATACGGAAACCGGAAGGGGAAGGATGGCAGACATTTCCAAGCATATGAAACTGTCGATACTACGTCAATCTATCCAGCGGGACAAACTTAACGGATTTCAAAGTTAATACGTATTTTTGAATGTACCAATAGCGTACCTTCAAGGATTTTGAACGTACCTTAAAGCTTCCCGGAAAATCCGTGTTGCGCTGGATCCGCGTAGATCAACCAGATTTCCATGGAAATGTGATGTACCAAATGCGTACTTTACGAATTTGTAATTCATTTTTAACGTACCTCTTATTTTCAATTAAATGCTAACATTTTAAATCGGTTTATACATGAATTCTGACCACGGAATAGAATTCCTCAGAAAATTTTAATCCGATTTTATATAAAAATATATACTTAAGTGCATTCTAGCCAATTTGAAGACCAAGACCCCCTTAGGCGACTGTGTGCGCAGTTTGAAGTGTCTAGTTTTTTTTTGCCGTAGCTTTGCGGAGCCGATATTCATTGTTAAGATAACAAAATTTCGTAAAACTAACGTTAGTAAAGCGGGGGCCGATTACTCGCGGCTATCTCGAGGTAAAGGGTAACAAATTGTAACAAATGGATGGCAGGGTAGGGATTGAAAACACAAGGTTTGGAGAGCAATGTGCTCTTGATCTCGAACTAAGCGACCAACTGATGAAAAAGACAAACAGCGAACAACTTGGGGGAACACAAGATGACACTAACTACTAAATCCTCAGATCGATCCGTTCTAAAAACACATAAATTAAATTGCAATAGTTGAGATCTCGGCTCGCCAAGATGTCTCTAACAGGCCGCATAGGTTGTTTTCCTCGGGCCCTGAAGGATGCGGATAACTCGGATCTAGCAACACAATGCCACACTGGGGACAAAATCAAAACAATGTGTTAAAATTCAATAACTTCGGTGCTCGCTGGAACAAGAGACTAAAAAATAGTCATTCTTATAGAAAAAAGTCTCAGAAATCGATTGGAGTGAGTTTCATCTTGGGCACGATAGGGTAAGTTGGGGTTTTTCACAGTTTTGCCCTAAAATCTCCTATTTTGCATGATTTGAATGCTGTATCTCAAGATACCGATGATATAGACGGATAATTTCTTGGGCAAAGTTGATCAGGAAGTCAAGGACTGTTGGATGATGGACAGAACAATTCGGAATTCCTCCACTAGGTGGCACTAGTGATTATTGAAAGTGAATATATGTGTGCTGCTGTATCTCAAGATCCTGACTATTTAGACGGATGATTTACTGGGCAAAGTTGATCAGGAGGTCAAGGACTGTTGGATGATGGACAGAACAATTCAGAATCTCTCCACTAGGTGGCGCTAGTGATTATTGAAAGTGAATATATTTGTGCTGCTGTATCTCAAGATCCTGACTATTTAAACGGATGATTTCTTCGGCAAAGTTGATCAGGAGGTCAAGGACTGTTGGATGATGGACAGAACAATTGGAATTCTTCCGCTAGGCGGCACTAGTGAGCATTCGAAGTGTATATGTTTGTGCTGCTGTATCTCAAGATCCTGACTATTTAGACGGATGATTTCTTCGGCAACAGTCAAGGACTGTTGGATGATGGACAGAACAATTCGGAATTCCTCCGCTAGTTAGTTCTATCTATGATCTTCTCTGGCTATTACGTCCAAACTGTAACTTAACGCCTGCTCTCAACTTAGTGCTCTAGATGCACTTCCACAGTTGTTAATTGAAAGCTTTCCAAGCCTGTTCAATTTTTACATGTGTATATTGTGTGGCAAGTACAATAATATACTATGCCCACGGAAGTCGAAACATTTTCCAATCTGAAATCCTAGACCAACCGGGATTCGAACCCAGCCACCTCCAGCATGGTTTGCTTTATAGTCGCAGGCTCTACCGACCGAGCTTATGGAGGCCCCCTGATCTGTGAATGTAGTCAAACTAAAATGCGAGGTGGTAGCCTAATTAACAAGTTTTGAGGACAATTTGGTGAACCTAGAACGTCTTAAACATATCGAATTCAAACGTAAATAATGTGCATGATATGTTTAACCCTGTTTGGAGATGTTTTAATACAAAGGGCTTTGAATCAGTGAACCTGGATAAGCATTTGATCTGAACTCAAGGACAATTTGGAGAACCGTGAGTATCTTATACACCTCAAAATCAACTATAAACAAACAGCAGAAACTGTATAAACGTGTTTTTGGAAAGTTTTGTCGGTGAGATCATCGTGCAGATTTTAGTTGATCCAGTAGATCAAATAATCTGACCTCTAGAACAATTTGAAGAATCTAGAACTTCTAATACACCTTAAATTGATGTTGTTTGGAGATGTTTAGTTGCTAAGCACCTTGTATCAGTTATGGTTGATCAGGTAAACCATTTGATCTGAGCTCAAGACAATTTGGAGAACCTTGATTATAAATCAAAATAAATCAAAAACGATCCGCAGAAACTTTATGAACATGTCTTCGTAGGTTTTGTCGCTGAGGACATCGTGCAGTTCATGGTTGAGCCAGTAGATCAAATAATCTAAACTCCAAAGCAACTTGGAGAACCTAGAACATCTCATACACCATCAATTACAACGAAAATGATGTGCATTATAGTCATGGACCTGGGTGCATAAACTTGCAATAATTATAAAAATACAGCATGCAAATCATGCAAAATAGGAGATTTTAGGGCAAAACTTTGAAAACCCCAACTTACCCTATCGTGCTCAAGATGAAACCCACTCCAATCGATTCCTGACACTTTTTTCTATAAGAATGACTATTTTTTAGTCTCTTGTTCCAGCGAGCACTGAAGTTATTGAATTTTAACACATTGTTTCGATTTTGTCCCCAGTGTGCAATGAAGGGTGCATGACCAAAGCACGTGGTCGATATCGTGATAGCCACTACCACAAGCGCACAAATTGCTGCCTGCGAGCCCGATTCGGAAGAAATGCGAGTCTAACGAGTAGTGATTGGACATGAGCCTTGATATGACACGTATAAAGTCACGGCTCATGTCCAATCCTTTGAACCATGGCTTGTTCGATACCTGTGGGAGAATATAATGTAACCATCTTCCCAGATCACTCTCATTCCATTTTTGTTGCCAGTTAGTGAGGACGTGCTGGCGAGTAATTGAGAAAAATTCTGCAAAGGCGATTTGTCAATCAAAAATATCGCCTTCCATAGCGCCCACCTTAGCTAGCGAGTCCGCTTTCTCATTACCCGGAATTGAGCAATGAGATGGGACCCAAACTAAGGTGATAGTATAGGAGCAGTTAGATAAGGCACTCAATTTTGCCCGGATTTCGGTCAGGAAATACGAGGAGTGCTTCATCGGCCTCATTCATCGAATAGCCTCCAACGAGCTAAGGTTATCAGTAAAAATAAAATAGTGATCAGATGGTAGTGAGGCAATTTGCTCTACCGCGTAGAATATGGCTGCTAGTTCCGCAACGTATACGGAACAGGGTTTTTGCAGTTGATATGAGGCGCTATGAAATTCGTTGAATACTCCAAATCCAGTGGAAGCGTTTATAGTTGACCCATCTGTGAAAAAACTCTTATTGCTCTTATTGTTTAAAATTTTATCAACACTGTTTGAACAAAATACACAATAATTCAAAAGTACAAAGCAACTATCACATTAATAAACTGATACACTCTTTAGCTCAATAGCACTAGGTCCTACTATCGAGCTCCATTGCTTTCCGTGACAGTCTGAACACCATTCTTTGCTAGATCAACATTTTCCTCGTAATAAGCTTCTGAAAAGGGAATTCGATAGGATAAATACACATGTTCACGAATATCAACAATTGGACAACCAACCCGGCTTCTTATCAAACAGTTGTTTCTGTAGATTCGAGAAAGGAATCTCTATTCCCAAGCACAGCAACAGTCCCATTATGTAGGAAAGAACCAACGTCGAGGAAGTCGCCACCAGCTAAAACATCGAAAGATTTGAATCAACGACAATCTCAAAGTCAAATTCCACCTTTCCGCTCACAATTCTCACATCGCTGACATAGATTGGCTGCCGGATGTTCCCAAACGTCGCCCTTATCACGAACAAATGGCACAGATAAACTGCGTAGGTAATTTTCCCGAGCGGCCTAAACATGGGATTGCTGAGCAGTCGCTTTAAGAACCCTTTGTCGAGGAATAAAAAACCGGAAAAATGAATATGTATGCACACACATGGTAATCAACAACACTTACACCCCACACCGAATGCCAGCCCCACGAACAGCACTCCGAAAATCAACCCCCACAGATTCTTGGAGAGGGCAGCATAAAGCGCTATCCAGACGGCCGGCTTCTCAAAGTCGTACGCGTAAAACATGAATGCGGACAGCAGCAGCATAATGGCCATCGGCAGGGCCAAGTACCACACCATCAGGAACGGCTGAAAATGGATACAACGGTTGAATGGTGATGCATTGTGCGTTACAGTGCCGGAGCGAAAGATTGTGGACATGTCGTCAAACTTATCTGCGATTTGCTCCAGCTGGTCGACAGTGCACCATATGGGAAATTCGATAAACTCACTTTATGTCGTCGCACATTGAAGTCGCTTCGCTTCAGTTTATGGTACGTCAAACCGGCAATCAATCCCGCCAAATAGCTGCCATAATTCGTGTGCGTCGGGATGTACATTTTGCGGTAGCTCTCGTCGTACCAGAGGACGTATTTAAGCGCTCTGTGGAGGACAATAACAAATATGGAAATGACATAATGCACGTCGCAACAATATACAGAGCAGGGGAAGACGAAGACAAATATGTATAATCGAAAAGTAGCAATTTACTCTGGTCGTATCATTACCACCCCCTCGAAGAGGTTCAAATACGTCACGAGGGCGGGTGACACGTAGGACAGAACGATGGCCAGGGTGAGGGTGGGCCGCAGCAGTTTGGGGAAACGCCGAACGAAGACCAGCAGGAGCAGGCCAAGGATGAACAGTTGGAAATCGGTGGCGAGGTACCAACTTTGCTGAAGACACTGCAAATAGGGTGGGAAACTGAAAAACTTTCAATTTGAAATACGTTTCCGTTGTCACTTACCGGTTCGTCAACGGTGAAGTAGTTGTTCACAAATAGTAAATTGGCCCACCAGTTGTTCCGGCAGAAGGTTCTTTCGGTTTCGGAAACTCTCTTCCACAGAGGACCGTCCTGCAGTTTGAACAGCCAGGTTGCGTCTAGCAGGATCATGAACAGGTAGAGTGGAACTAATCTGTGAATGTGACCAATAAACAATAACATGTGAATTTAATAAGGGTAAAAAATAATCTAAGCGGTTTTACGGAATGGCGTTAGAAACGACAAAATGGCTTAAACACATTGAACTTTTTAAGCCATTTTGGTGTTTCTACAGAATACAGAAAAAAGCATTTTTCTTAAGCTTTCAAATGTAAAATATTCCATTAATATTGAAGGGAGCCTTATTTTGTTTTTCAAATTTTAAACACATTTTTGGATTTCTTACCCAAAGTTTCAAGAAATTTTCACCGTGTATATTTTATCAGAAAAGGAGTAACTTTTTCCTAAAATTTAGTCTAAGACGTAATTTCAAACGTAAGTGAAATGTTCGAGTTATGAATTGCTGAAAAATATCGAAAACGCCATTTTGAAGTTTTTTCAAAATAGCCGAATTTTAGCTCAAATATAAATGCTTGGCCACATCTTATTCTTCTCCTTCGCTTGAAATCTTATTACTTATCGCATATTAGTTTATTGCGTTCTCTCCCACCCACGGGCCACCCACAATAGTCCGTCACCGTCACCGTCACCGTCAGCGTCAACGCATCCGTCATGTACTAAACATTCTGACGGACAATCATGCGTCACGCTTTGCGTTTTGACAGTAGCATAATCTCGTTTTAATCATTTGTTTTGGTAGAAGATTTAGGGGAATTTACGTATTCTCGGCAACCTAAGCAGCGACCTTCTTTCTATAGCCTTTTTTCTCTATGGAACGTGTTTTAACTTGGCCTTCTTCGGGTAGAGATACTATCTATAAATCAAACAACTCGTTCGGTTGATAATCACAAACGATTTAACTCATATATATTTCTCCTGCCCATTATATACACATCTCAGACCTGACCAACTTGTCCTGATCATATGTTCGTCCCTCTCTCACTTTATCTCCTACTCTTTCGGGGATTATTCTGCATGGTCGAAATCACGACTTATCTACACCGTTACCACAACTCCTCATCCCATTAAAACAAAAAAATCATTTAGCCAAATTCATTCGATAGCAAATTCAACTCAGCATGCAACAAATTTAGAATGAACGATAATTCAAAATTAAATCACAAACTCCAATACAATGATCAGTAATACCAATAATCTTCCTTGCGTTTCTTCTTTAACCTCCTTCGCGACCTTCGAAACGAGTCTTTTTCTACTTGTGCAGCTACTTCGAGAGCTTGTTCATTACCAAAAATAAACGAATCAGCCGCAAAACCGTAAAACTCAGATTCTGAACCCGAGCTGGAAACACTCGCACAATCTTCCTCATCGTCTTCTCTTCTCCTTTTAGTCGGTCTCGTGGTAACGTCGGTCATGTTGGTCTGATTCATGTGATTCGGCACAATGTTGTTATTACTGGTGCTGGATTGCGCTGGTGGTGCCGGTGTAACGCTCTCTCCAAGGAAGGCAAAGCGACAAAGCGCTTAAATACGTCCGGCGCTCTGTGGATACGTCATCCAAGTAGCAAAGAACGTTTTCCAAACCTTGGAGCACTTGGTCCATTACTTTTTGAAAAATAGCTGCACGTTTGTAAAGATATAAACCCTTAATGGTGTTTATCACCATAAACTTCTTGGAACGCTCTGATAACAAGAGTTGGGTGTAAGCACCAACTAAATCTAGCGAACAAAAAACTTTTGAACCACTAAGGGTGGTAAAAATGTCTTGAATCAGCGGCAAAGGGTAAGAATTCGTGACAATGACTTTGTTTATTGTGACTTTACAGTCAATAACAAGACGAATACTCTGGTCTTTCTTGACCACCGCAACTACAGGTGAGGCCCATTCGCTGGCTTCAATTGGTTCAATAATTCCATCGTTCTCCAAATTATCTAAACAATCTAAGACTTTCTGTTTCAGCCTTAAAGGAACATCGTATGCTTTCCTAAACATAGGTTTATGATCTTTTAAAACCAAATCACCAACATAACCTTTGATTGGACGAGACAAATCTTTATCAAAAACCGAAGGAAACTTACGCTTTACGTCGTTTACTATCTCCTCTTCCTGCAGCGAGTTGATGCAAGTTGTAGCCAGTGTTTGTTGATTGAATGCTCATTTCCAGTCTCCAAAAAATATGTCCAGCCAGCTTCTTCCAATCAGAGGCACGAATTTGTTATTGCATCGTAAAACAATCAAAGGAAGACGTTGGTTTAATCCGTTCAGCTGCACAAAAACATTCGCCTTTCCCAAAACCTGTAACCTTTTGCCATCAATAACCACCAACCTTTTGTTGCACACCTCCAGGCTTAAATCTTTAAATTTTCTTAGGAAAAGTTCTTCTGAAATAACACTTTCCGCTGAACCGCAATCCACTTCCATAGTAAGGGATCAACGTTCAATTTGTGCGTCAACATAACAGGGTTCATTTATCTTATTGATTGAAGAAATCATCAAGCATGCAAAATCCTCTTCATCAGAATTGTCCTCTAAATCAGTCTTTAGTCGCTTGAAAAGCCCAGAAGAGTCTGAAGTACTAGGCTTGGGAGAGCCAACAAAATTTACATTTGGTTTACTTTCACGTGGGTTTTTGTCTTTAAGACGAAAACAATACTTTTTTGTGTGTCCTCTCTTCTTGCAATGAGAGCAAAAATATGCTATTTTCCCTGGACTGTTATTATCTCTGCTGTCATATCTGCGATCATATCTATTGTAACCTTCATTTCTAAACCGAACAAAACGATTCCTACTATCGCTTCTACTCCTTCCTCTGTAACCCGATCCTCGACTTGATCTAATCTAATAGGTGATCTACGACCAAGCCTTGCTATGACGCCTAGTCGTGGTTCATCGTCCCTTTTCAGCGTATTGGTTCTGTCCGACGCTATTTCTTTGTTTACTATTATTCTCTCGGCCTTGCTAGCTGTGAGGTCTTCTTCGTCGAATAGGCGATTCTGCATTTGACGGTCATAAGTCCCTATAACAAGCACATCTCTAATTGCTCTGTCTTTAAATGTACCAAAGTCACATTGCTCAGCTAAAGTTTTCACATCAAGTACGAAATCTACTGCTTTTTCATGTTGGCCCTGCCTGCGCGTCCAAAACTTGTAGCTATGGATCACGTCTGAATCTACTTTGTCGTAATGTTTTTTCAGGTTTTCCGTGATTTCTTTGTACGTAAGGTCTTTGAAATCGCGACCGGGGAATAACAGTTTTAATCGAGAAAAAACTTCAGTGCCACAAACAGCTAAGAAGGATGATTTATAATCATCCGGGGCAAATTTGTTATGATCAAACATCCATTCAAGTTGCTCCCAGTGTTGGAAAAATCATTTTCAAAAAAAGTTCTATCACAGCTCATTGCAGAGATAAATCCCAAAGGAACTTCTCACAAAAAGTTCGCGAACGAGAGATTATAAAAAGTTCATGAAAGCGTAGAGCGAGAGAAATTTTCATTTCGTATCGCGAAAGATCTTTCGTCTCTCCATCTCACATCATTTCACACGTACTCGTGATTCGAACCAACCAAATATCCCCTCAGCTTTGTTCTTTTTTTCCAGCGAGTAAAGGTAGGCGATGATCACGCGAGAGTGTCTGTTTGTTTTCTTCTCGTTCTCCGATATTTTTCGCATCCTTCACATTAAATACCATTTCCAGAGAACTTTGAGATTTGGGCGTAATTGCTTTTGTAAACAAACACGTCATTCAGCGATTTCTCACGAATCAAAGCACAATCTAGCGAACTATACTATACCAAATGAATCATTCCTCTACCTGTCTGTGTTGTTAGTTTTTTAGATTGAACTTTAATTCACGAGAAATCGGCGAATTAAGTGTGTGTTTACAAAAGAAATTACGCCCTAATCTCAAAGTTTTCCGGATTTATTTATAGTTTTAGTTCTCAATGCAACCAGCTAATAGTAGATACTTGTAACCAGTGCTGTAAATTTTCATATCATTCGATTGAAGATGAACCACTACAACCATTCAATCAATTCTGTGTAAACGAATTCTCACATGACCATAATTTGAAGAGCCCCTTTCTCATTCGAAGCTCATTGTCACTGTCAATTGAGTCACTCAATATCATTTGATATACGACAGTGGAGTACGGAAGAAATCCAGAAAAATGGTCCCGAACAGACAAGTCGACCCGATGTCGGATCAATGTAAGGCTAATTTAAGGTCGATGTCGACCCAATGTCGTGTTAATGTCGGGTCAATTTTGGGTTTATGTCGGGTCAATGTCGGGTCAACATCGGGTTGGGGTTTGATAGAAGTCAGGTTGGTGTCGGGTTGGCTTAGCTTTTTCGCCGGAATGTCGACCAGAGCTCCGTTTGTGTGTAGGTTTTTTTTTTTTTTTTTTTATAATTCGTTTATTTTTCCAGGCTCATTTGCTGTAGCTTTGCGGAGCCGATATTCATTGTTTAAATAACAAAATTACTTAAAACTAACGTTAGTAAAGCGGAGGCCGATTACTCGCGGCTATCTCGAGGTTAGGGGTAACAAATTGTAACAAATGGATGGCAGGGTAGGGATTGTGAACACAAGGTTTGGAGAGCAATGTGCTCTTGATCTCGAACTAGGCGACACTCTGATGAAAAAGACAAACATGGGGGTACACCGATGGGTAGCTAACAACTTGGGAGAACACAAGATGACACTAACTTCTAAATCCTCAAATCTATCCGTTTTAAAAACACATAAATTAAATTCAAATAGTCAAGGTCTCGGCTCGCCAAGACATCTCTAACGGGTATCGCGGGTTGTTTTCCTCGGGCCCTGAGGGATGTGGATAACTCAGATCTGGCAACACGGTGTAAGGTACACGACCAAACAACATGCTCGATATCGTGATAACCACTGCCACACGCACATAAATTGCTGCCTGAGAGCCCAATTCGATAGAAGTGCGAGTCTAACGAGCAGTGATTGGACATAAGCCTTGATATAACGCGTATAAAGTCGCGGCTCATGTCCAACCCTTTGAACCATGGCTTGTTCGACACCTGAGGGAGAATAGAATGTAACCATCTT